TTTAATTCGTTATCGTTTTGCACCAAGTCTTATTATTGTAAACGTCTTTATACAATAACGCGTATAATAAAAAATATTAATGCGTCTATATAGTAATAGACAAACAAGGCTGATAATTTTAAGGGCTCCGCGAAGGACTACAAGTCATACTTTTGAGAAAGTGAGTAACAAAGGTAACAAGCGCGCTGATAAGTTTATAGGGGCAAGTTGCTAAAATTAGATCATTATACACAATGGAAGTGGGAAGTAACAATAATAAGAGCAAATTTTGATTATGCGATAATGTAAGACAATGACCCAAAAAGGACAAATAAGAATGGGAGAAAAAAAAAGGGGAGGGGGAGATAAATACTGGCTATTCGGTGAGCCGTCGCGTTATCTTCTCAAATACAAACTTTTTCGCGGACATGACAACGACGACTGGTTGCCGAAGCCAAAGCTATTATCAAACTGAAATCACTATAACATTAAACAGCCACGTTAGCAAACGGTGATAACTTTCAAAAAAAGCGTATACCTGCGTGTCCACAGGAACTGTCGCGTCTTCTCAAACGTAAAATTTTTTTGCAACAAGATTTTTTCCTTAACGAAACTGGTTGTCAAAGCCAAACCCATCACTATAATCAAACCAACGTTTCTGTTGCAGTAAACTACTGTATGGTAAGTGGGGAGGGAAGAGAGGGGGGAGGGGCAATGTTTATAACAGTAAAGCAAAAATTAAGCGCACATATAACAAAAACTGGTCTATCAGTGACGATAAAATGTTTGAAGTAGCACGCCTCGAAACAAATAAGCGCTATAACATTAATCAAGAAAACTGATTTATTACTGTGACAAACATTTGAAGCGCACGCCTCAAGGCTGATAAGCGCTATAACACTGATCAAACTTTTTAAACAAATGAGTGGCACACTCAAGGCAAAAAAACGCTATTTTAACATTGATCAAACTTTTTGCAAGACATGTTTATTCCTTAAACTTGCAGGAAAAAGAGCAAGTGTGGATTAATGGTCGGGTGGTAGAAAAAAAATTTTTATCAAACTGTCCTCGGCATGACGGAAAACTGCCGCCTTGATATGTGACACCTCAACGCGAATGAGGGTTGACGTTTACTAAGTGGTAGACGGAGAGCGCATTATCAAAGTCTTAATATGCCGCCCCTCATACTTGCGGATGAGGGTTTGACGTGCGAACATGATTCGGGCAACGTTATAAAACGACCAAGACGTTAATAGCGGCTAACAAGTACCCATTCATTCGCTCAGTAAATACATAACTCTTAAGGTACGTTAATAAGATTGTACTTTACATATTGCTAATATTATTGGAATAATGTCTAACGCGTCTACTCATACATATAGCACTTTGCTACAACTCGTTTTGAACAACGATACGGTTTGTCGGCCACATAACCAACGCAACAGCTCTTTGTCGCACGTTCACTTTCAAGGTAAGAATTCTTACTGGGTAAATTTGTTGAGGGTCTGTATCCGAAGGTACGCTGCCACTAGGTATAAAAGCCGGATAATCTTGAAAGCTCTCCGTGGCCACACTTGTAATTGTTTTTCGTGAGGGTGCTTAGTAGTGTATATCTGAAGGGACGCTGCCACTAGGTGTAAATCGTAGTTTTCGAAGCACGCGGAGTGCAAATTAATCGAAAACCGTTACCGACAAAAAAGCGTGAGCTTTTGTGGTGAATAGGATACACACGAAAAGTAGTTGGGGACCTGATCGTTAAATGATTACTTGTGTAAACGTTCGATTATCCGCTCCGAAAGGTCGTCTGATGCTCACTGTGTGCACAGGCGGCTGTGGTGAATAGGTACATGGGACATTGATGCGAAGTCATCGAACAAGCGTGACATCCGGATGGGTGGTTGCCGCTTGACATGCACGACCTTCATTTGTCCGTGATTCTGATGATGCAGTTTACTCAAGTTTTCCCTAACTTATAGGAGATAAATAATGAATATTATACTTGTCCTCGGCATGACAGTAAACTGCCGGGTACAACGACCACACAACCGATCGCAAAGAGAATTTGGGCTTATAGATTGAGGTGAGAGTCTCACTGAGTATTTGCTGAGTGGTTGTTAAGTAACTGAACGAAGATCGATCGAGCCACGTCGTATTGTTGGGCAGGCTAAGTCGGGGGGACGAGCAAGTTGCTGTTACTGTGCCAAAATGCCAGTACCGGTGCTGGTTGGTTTGGAAGTTCGACTTCCTTCCTTGTCCATTTGAATTGAAAGCGCTTCGGGCCACTGCTGTCAGCAGGCAAACGGCCTGACTTGTACGGTTGTGAACGTTCTTCAAATGGTTCAATTTTTGGGCAGTCTAAGTCGTATTTGCGGGCAGTTTCTGTTCCTGTGCCAAGAAGCCAGCACACTGCCAGAGGCTTTAATTGGGGTCAGTTTGTTTAATTGGCTACCCAATGGTGAGGCTGGTTGGTTTGGAAGATCGAATCGTTCATTGACAATCGACTTGTTCGTTGGCCATTCGAATTGAAAGCGCTTCGTGGCCACAGCGCGTACGGTAGACAGACTGCCTGCCGGCCTGCTGTGAACGTTCTTCAATGGTCAATTATGATGATGCAGTACTCATATTTTTTTGTTATTACTAGATGAACAGACAACAACCACCCCATCATATTACGCACATATGATACGACGCAACAGACCTTTGTCGTTAGTGCGATACAACTCACGAAAAGGCTGTAATAATATTCGCCAACACCTGCGTATGGGAATACTATTTACGTCATGTGGCAGTTTACGTTGGGAGTAGTGTTATTATTATAATCATGTATCAAACCCATGTGTATACAATAAGAAATAAAGAATTATAATGAATAAATTCTCGAACAATTGTTGTACAGTATGCCATAAGTCACATAATTCCGTTAGTCCACTCTGTCGTACCGGCAATCAATAATAAATTAGACTTAAACGTTTGCGACCGTAATAAAGTCATCATCCGTCGTTATTTCTTTATTAAAACATCAGAACGCTGGATTATTCTATTTTTGTTTGATATTAATAACAGTCAAACCTCGATATAGTAAAGTCTTGATACAGTGAATTTCGCGCTATAGTAAAGAATTCCTCTGATTCAAAAAACAGTATTATTAAATTTTCCCTCAATAATGAAGTTATATAGTAAGTCTCGTTATTAGATATAGTAAAGTTTTTTCTCAAACAATATTAGTAGATTGCATCTCGATATAATAAAGATTGTACCACCTGATGTATAATAAGTGCAACCATTTAGTCAGTATTACGTCTTTCTTGTCGTCTGTTTTTTTTTTTTTTTTGAATGGCTTTAATAAATTATGAAACCTTAACCGAATCAAGAGGTTAATACATAATTGAACAGTATGACACTTGCTACGTTAAATCATTTAGTATTTCATATAAATCGTTCAGCAGTATTAGATTCGTCAGTAGAAATAACGTTTGAGTCATTTATTATGATACTACTATAATATTTGCCGGTTGCGACATAGTAAATATTTATGCCATATAATGAACTTTACTATATTGAAAATTTTCGATATAGTAAAGAAAAATCCCGTCGTTTGACTGTACTACAGCATTTACATTAATTCCATTTATTGACAAGAGTTGCTGATCATTACTTAGTTTCAATTGGTCTAAATGACAACTCGTTCCTTTTTGCCCAATATGAATTATTGCCGAAGACAACTTTAGTGCATATATATATGTTATTATCCTACGGAATACGGAATGTACCTCTTGTCGCAAGTCTCATTGTCATTAGTATCGATCGGCCTTCTATTCTGCCTAGCGCGTCAATGATGACTACGTGCCCGTTGTCCTTGAATGATCATAATCATAATCCAGAAACTGGAGCGGCTTTGACTCAAAGAGTAGGTAAACGTCTTTTTTAATTCAATGGATTCAAAGAATTCTATTGCTAAGTGTTGAGTGACGATTTTCTCTGAAAGGCATCATTATCAAATAAAGCAGACAACAGAGGGAATATTAGAAGTTGCAAATGTACCACAAGACAGCTAAGATGCTGGTGCTAATAGATGATGATGTTTAAACCTTGTTCAAACTCCAAAGAAGTTTTTCTTTAACTATTGATGGAGTACTGAACTTCAGAGACCACTCAACAGATCTCCCGTCGCCAGAGAAAGGACGGTATTACGGATGCCCCAAAAAGTTGGTAAAACTTAACCATCGCCGATCTTTTCAGTTCGATTGCCGAACCTCGCAAAGAGTCATGACCCTGCTTTATTGGCAATGCGAGTCATCGAGGGAAGGATACGCAGTATCGGGTAAATAATTTATCAAATCCACCGCTCATTTCGACGTTTTTATAAAAGCCAATCTTTATTATATTCGTATTCTCAATTTGCAACACTTCTCAGTTACGATTAGTCACGAGTACCCAGATCTTCTATATCCGAAACTGTACCGTAAGATGGAGTTGCTTGGCGGTTATTACGAAAGAGGGGTTCTGATTGGTGTTTCCTGTATCTAGAAATTGCGAAAAAGAAAAATACCTACACGGAAGAGATAAGGTTATCAACCCAATATACGCACCAACAATGACGAGATTTTTTTTTTACAAACCTCCACAAGTTGAATACAAATCAATGTAATATAAATATGTATCGACGGGTATATTCTAAAATTAATTGTCGATACGATTCATCAGATTCGATTACAAGCAGAGCGGGGATTTAGCCGAAGGCACTGTGCATACATTTATATACATCATCAAGGTCAAAATTTTTTCCCCTAGCAACATACACACCACACACCTATACTTATGTAAAAAGTAAATGTGGGCGAAACTTTGCAGATAGCGCGGCCACAACATCACGTGCATACGTAAAATAATACTTTATTAAAGATATTAACTCCAATACTGCAGTATAGCTAGAATTTGTAGGAGGCAATTGCATCAGCGAAAACATCATATAACTACAATTTATATAGACATTTTAATTGGTGAAAACTTGACACCATTGATCAAACGTTGGTGGCTTTGTTTAAAGCACTGTATAATGATGCCGTATTTTTTCTTGTTCGCTCCTTCCAGGACAGAATTGATTTTACGCCCACCACTAACTTTGAAAATCCCTCCACGGTCTTTGGGACCTCTATGTGTTGCAAATCCATTGTTACTATAGTATCTTCGAAAAGATACTTGGACGCGGAGATCTTAAGTCGAAATCCATTCGACTGAAGGCTATATGTCTCTATATCGGTAATGTCGGCCTTGGAGTTGGATGGCAACGCAAAGAATAGAGTTGTAAGAATTACTTTAGAGCAAACCTCCAATTTTTGTAGATCGCCCGTTCTTTTGTTATGTGTATTTAAGACTCCGTCTTCTTGAGCTATTATTTCAGTGCCCAAGGATTTAAAGAATCCTTTGCCATCGAGTTTAGGGGCACTTCGGTTGGCATTATTCAACACTTCCTTAAGCTTTTCGTACGATCTAGACGCCAGCTCACCACAGCTTAATTTTAAATCTTCCCTCCCAAGAAATGCATTTCCGAGCAACGGGGTCCAAACATACGCGCTAAACTCATGCTCGGACAGGGTTGAATTAATATGTCATTTTTGTATAATAAATGAAAATGGTCAAAAAGATTCCTCACGTAAATAAGATCATTTGATGCCTCTGACCTTTTGATTGGGTTCTCATCCAAACATTTCGCCAGAGATTCCAAATCTCCTATCTCGTTGAATTTTTCCAAGAAATGTAATGCCTCCCTATCACAATCCATCACGAATTTGTCAATGTATCGCCCATCAGCAAAATAGACAGCATCACTCTCGTAATCTTGAATTTGGTCTGCAATAAATTTTTTGAAATTCGGAGATAAAAATTTAACACAGTCGTTGTTGTGAATATTGACAACATTAATGGAAAGGGAACTTTTTGCAGAGTCATTTTTCTTCATTGTTGATCGGGCAAAATCCAGTATATCAACACCATTGTACATCAACCTTTCGCCTGGTAGAACACGTGTTTGGTAGGCTTTCAATACTTCGTCTGCAATGTCACGGTTGATGTATTTTCTGGGGTTCTTTGGTTTTTGTTCTCTACTAATACAAGAGATACTTGAGTCGACTGTCTTGGCTGTATCTATTTCGGACTCTGTAAATGACTGTTGCGAAGTCTTGAAGAAGTTTGTAAGGGAAGTTGAGGAGATTTTTTCGTCGCACGAATCACTGTAAGCTATTTCCGCTTCCGTTTCACTAGTAGTTAATGGACTGAATTGACGTTCGGGAGTTCGTTGTTGAGCCTGAGACTGCAAATCATGTGAGACATCACTCGGAACGGGTTTCGCCTCCTCATTAATTTCATTTGGTTTGATCTTCTTCACTTTCCGATCTGGACCAAATTCCATGTCTAAATAATGTTTATATCCTCGTCTTGCTATTTGATGAACATCACATCTTCCCCTTTTCTATAATAACGAATTCAACAAGGACTAAATAAGGAGCTGTTCAGAAGTATAAGAGGTAAACTTGAATAAATCACTCGCCCTGGCGATTTCCAATTCCAATTCGACTATATCAGCCTCCAAAAGTAACGATGAGATTTGTTCCTTCTTCTCCCAAATTTTACTATCACTTTTCTGTATGGATATAAATGTATGTAAAAGTTAACACACTTTTGAGATACCGGATGGAGTTCACTGATGCTGGATGGAGTTCACAAAATGCCACGATGCTCGCTCGACAACGTTTCTATGCCCCTACACTCGGTAATAGCCGTCGGTTTTTGCACTCGGGAAAACCTTCTCAACACTCGGTTGCCGGTTTAGGCATAAAGTACGTCGCGCGTTTCAATAGCCACGCACACGCGGTGCTACCTGTCGGTTTTTGCACTCGGGAAAACCTTTCCAACACTCGGTTGCCAGATTAACTATCAAGTACGCTGGCACAACAAAATTCGTGAAGTCAAAAAAAAACTATACCTCCCTTCAATGCGTTCTGCCAATGACAAGCTGTCTTATAAATATGATGGTTTTCATCATACATCTGCTTTAAGCATCTTAGCTCGTCACCCAAGGCTGAGTGAGAAAGACGTTTATTAACCTGTGACGAATTCAGTTTCTTAAGCAAGTAAAGGTCCCAATCTTTTATGCTTCCCCAGGTGTCAGGTTCTCGGTCCCAGTAATCTAAATAGCAAAAAGTTTGTTTTCTCATTGTTCTGTTAAAAATAGGAAAGTAAAGTAACAGATTTACCTGGGTGTTTCAGCTTTGAACGTTCTTCTTCCGACATATACGACATATTAATATCAAAATATTTGCAAATAAGAAATTTATTTCTACCTTTCAGTCGCGTTATCTATATATATTAAAAAAATTGGATTTCTGCACGGTAGACGGACATTGCATATTCGTATTACATAGTTACCCAATCATAGATGCTAACGCCTTTTTTGTTTACAACCGCGACGCCTTTTTTGTTTACAACCACGACGCCTTTTTTTGTTTACAACCGCAACGCCTTTTTTTTGTTACAAACGCGACTCAAATTTTAACACTGTTACTATTACTATTATGGACAACGTTAGCGAAAGAAACGATTAAACGAAGACGTAGATTGAAAAGAGAGTCAAATGCTCGAACAAAAGCTAACCAAACTTTAGAGCAAAATGGACGGCGTAAAAAGCAAAAAAGAGAATCAAAGGCTTGAAAATCTGCATGCAAAGCAACTGCTGCACCTGCTCAGTCTTCATCTTCTACTAATGATACTAACTTTATTATTCCTCTTCCCCTTTAATACCAAGATGACATTCTTCTGGATCTTACCATGGTACCAAGTTCCAAAAGCATGGTGTATCTTTTGAATTCAAGTAGGTTGCAATGATATACTCTTGGAAAAATGGATACTAATACCCCATGTTTTTCTTGTGGTGCCTTAAAATGGTTAGATGAAAGAGTCACAGAATCAACTAAATGTTCACTTACCTGTATTTGCAACCTGCTGTCCCAGGGAAAAGTTCTACCATGTCTTCAAGAACCTCCAGCAGTATTAAGGTCTTATTTAATATGCAGTTTCACAAGAATTTTAACAAAACATCTGTGCTTATAACTCAGCTTTAGCTTTTACTTCTATAGGAGCTAAAATTGATAATCATATAACTGGCACAAGAGGTCCTTATACTTTCCATATACATGGTGAAATGTATCATAGAATTGGGACTCTTTTTCCTCAGTCAACTGTTGAACCTCCTTTATTTGCACAAATCTATATTTTTGATACTGATAATGAGACTCAAAATAGGTTTAATATTATGCCCTCTTTAAATCAGGTAATTCTTGCAGCTCTTCAAAATATTAATATGCTTATGATATTAACCCATATGTAATATTAAAATGTACAAGTTTTTCAACAAACAGGTAGATTATTTCAGCAGAATCTATCTCAAAATTTGACTATAATAATAACAGATTCATGATGTTATAATGTTCCAACTACTCTGAAATTGCTGCTATTATAGCAGGTGATGACAATAATCCATCTAATGTATGCAATCATGATATTATTTTACATTCACATGAGGGAGGTTTACAGTGTATATCTGAACACAGGGCCAAATGTTGGAATTTATCTGCCCACACTAACACCTGTATTTTCTCATGGCCAGCTTTATGTTGTTTGCTCCAGGACGACATCTAAACAAAATCTAAGATACTAACGACAGGACAACATGCAATGCTGGATATACTCAAAGTATTGTATACCCAGAAGTATTACAGTCATAATACCTTTTTTACTTTTTTATTACTCACTTTTCCTTTATTTATTAACTTTGTTTTCTTTTTTTTCTAGCCATTCTAATCTATTATAACCTTCTCTTTTAGTTTTTTCTCTTTTCTGTGCTTTATTTATCCTTTATTAACGCTTTCATCTTTTCTACAGGTTATTCTCAGAAATCTCAAGTGTATTGTATAATTGTCAATATTTATTACACTTTATTATAGCTTATACACCTTTCTTTAGATTTCTATTATTACTAAACTACCTTTTTTTTTTTTTGTTATTTTATACTTACATTTATACAGTACTGGACAAAAGTAATGGCGGTGGGTACGCGATTTTGTTTTTTGTTGATAGCATCTTGATATCGCGTTTTA